TTGTTTCTTTTCTTGCAACCGTTCCCTCCCCCTGCTATGTAATATCTCAAACTGAAGATAACTTTTGGTGGGAGGGGGGAGTGCTCCCACCCCTCCGTTCCTTGATTAGGGTATTGTTTATTCCTTGATTATCTGATGATAATCTTGGTGTTAATCTCTGCTTATCATGGTGATGATTGCTGGGGATGAGGTATTCTGGTCTTTTGTTTCCTTTTTATTCTCTTTTTTGAATAGTATGTAGATGTTGTTTATATGCCTCAAAAGAGGCAGTAAAAAGGAAACAAAAGACCAGAATACCTCATCACCCAGATAAGCAGAGATTAACACCAAGATTATCACCAGATAATCAAGGAATAAACAATACCCTAATCAAGGAACGGAGGGGTGGGAGCACTCCCCCCTCCCACCAACAGTTATCTTCAGTTGAAGATATTACCTAGCTGGGTAAGGAAACGTTTGCAAGAAAACAACCAAGCTCAGAGAACCCCAAGGACTCCACAGTTCAACCCTGAGCTACATATATTCTCTTCTATTGATACTATTAAATCCAGATTAAATCAAATTTGGAATAGAAACTTTGATATCAGCAAGCCCTGGGGTATTCATGACTAAGAAATCCCATTGATTTGGGTCAGGGGCTTTCTCCAGGGCTAGGAAATCTATGGCTAGTATTCAGTCAAGCTCTTCGTATCCCATTGCAACTGAAATGCATCCTTTCCTGTAATGGGAGATAGAGGACACCACTATAAAAATATGCAGGTAGAAAACCCTAGGGAGCCAGTTTGGTGTAGTGATTAAGATACCAGGCTAGAAACCAGGAGACTCTGAGTTCTAGTCCCACCTTAGGCACAAAGCCAGCTGGGTGACCTTGGGTCAGTCTCTCTTTCTCTCTCAGCCCTGGGAAGCAGGCCATGGCAAACCACTTCTGAAATCTTGCCCAGAAAACTGCAGGGACTTGTCCAGATGGTTGCCAGGATTCCACACTGACTTGAAGGCACTGAAAGGGGGGAAAAAAGAAAATCCTAGCACATTCTGCTAGGATTTGACACTTGTCAAAGAAGTTGGACTGAACACAACAATCCTATGCTCACTGGGTTGGAATGTTTATTGAATCAATAGGGCCTACATCTGAGCAGAGAGGTATAAGTGCCTGATAAACTGAACAGTTTAATTGGATTCTCTTAATTTTTAATCTGTACATGGATATTCACAGTAAAGTTACCTACATCTTTACTTGTACTTCTCTTCCAGTACAAATATATGAAGAAGGACACTGATCCTCATGTTGTGATAGAAGGAAAAGAGACTGATGACTGGCTATGCATTGATTTTGGTAAATATTGTTATTACTGATAAAATGTAGAGCATAAGTTATATATGATTGAATTTACAAATTGTGGAAGCACTTCACCTCCCAGAGATTTTGTACTTCCATTCCCACTCTTATTTCCCATTATTTACCTCACTTCCAATAATTCAATCTTGGGGTGCTTTGGAAACTGTAAAATGAGGTCCCAGAGGGCTGTGGATTTCCCACGCTTGCCATGACAAACCATATTTGAGTTCACATACTAGCTCAATATCTTTGAACCTAGAGGTTGGTTGATCCAAGTATCAGAAGCTATTTATGAAGTGATTTCTTGCAATATCCTTTTTGCAATACAATCATAGTAATTTATTTATTATATATGTATTGCCAATGTAGGTTTAGAGGTTTGATTATTGGTGGAAAACCTCTTTCTGCTTAATGTAGTTTGCAATATAATTGGTCACAGGTTTCAATCTTGTTTCAAATGAGACTAATTGAATAATTTCTCATCAATTATAGTAATTAACATATGAAAATTATTGAAACCCCTTCAAATATTGTATAAAATTCTTATATTAAACTTCCCAGTCTATTTAGAAAATCTGAAATTCTGAGAAGATAACTTGGGATTTGAATAGTCCTTTTGGAACTATTTGTGGTCCCAAATTATTTTTAATTTAATTTGAATGTCATCAGGAACAGATCATAAATGTAAGCCATAATTTATACTTTTCCCCTAAAATTACTTGGTATTAATTACAGCTCTTCTAGATTGTGTTGGAGAGGTTGTAATTACCATCTCTGGTGCAATGCTAATTTTGTAATTCATTTACTCAACTGTTTTTATAGAAATTGAGAAATCACTCAATCTGATAATCCTGTGGCTGCTTTATTGCCTATGTGGACACAACATAAAAATAATTCAATTTGTTGTTAGCTGTCAGATTTATTATTGCAAAACGCTGGTCATGGATATGGATTTTAAAGTTTTGCCATTGGTATGCACGTACACACATGCATGCACATGTGTGTATAAATGATTCAGTCTCCCAAGCTTTTGCTTACTATACTTAAATAGAAGTGAAACCAAGATTGTGGGATTGGTTCAGAGAATCTTTTAAACCAGGTTCAGCTGAAGTTGCAGTTGCTTCTCCTAATAGATTTCTGGATGATTTCTGGGTTCTAATAAAAAGCAAATTGATCATGTGAGTAGTCTGCTCACTCTTAATAAAAACCTTGTCTTAAAACTTCAAGTGAGCAACCAAGTGAGATTCTCAGGGCTTCTGGCCTGGCTACAGTAGTTTATAAACCTGTCACTTAGTTACTATGGTGGTGCTTAGAAATTTGTGAACTCTTTTGAATTTTCAATATTTCTGCATACCTATGACCTAAAACGTAATCTATTCTTTTTGGAGAGTAGTGTTTTTCTCTTTGCAACCCTCCCATGCACACCATTGTTGTTCAATGTTCTGATGGTGTCTCATGAACACTCACATTTGCCAGTGCAAGAAAGGCCTTCAGTTCTTTAGACGTTACCCTGGGGTTCTTTGAGATCTCCCAGAGTATTACAGGCCTTGCTCTTGGTATGATCTTGATCAGCCACTCCTGGGTTGGGTAACAGTGGTGTTGAATTGCATCCACTTGTACAAGGTCTTCCTGACAGTGGACTGGTGGAGTCCTAACTCTTTAGAAATAGTTTTGTAATCTTTTCCAGCCAGGTGAATGTCAACAATTGTTTTTTGGAGGTCTTCAAAAATCCAGTTTGTTCGAGACACACTTCCACATAGCTGTAAAGATCAGACTTTAATAGCGAATACCCAGAATTCTGTACTTTAAATAAAGCAGGATATCCCACACTCACACCTGATTATCATCCCATTGTTTGAAATACCTGACTCTAATTTCCCCTTCAAATGAATTGATAATCCTAGAGGGTCACAAACTTTTGCCACATACAAATATGTAGCTTTGGATCATTTTCCTCAATTAATCAACGAACAAGTACTGTATAATTTTTTGATTTGTTTAATTGGGTTCTCTATCTAGTTTTAGGACTTGGGTGGAGAACAGATAACATTTTAGGCTATATTTATGCAGAAAGATTGAAAATTCAAAAGGGTTCACAAACTATTAAGCACCACTGTAGGTGGACTGAAGGGAGCTGTCTTGCGATAGGAAGGAACTAGTGATAAATGACCCTTGGCACACCTTTTTTTTCTAGTTAAATAGCTGTTTGGCTGGCTGACCAACTGGGATGAGGAATAATGTGTATTTTTAGTGTGTGTCTTTTCCACATTTAAACTGGTGGAAAAATTGCCAGTGAGTTCGGAAAGGCAATCTTAACTGCTCCCCCCCCCCAAATCTCTGAAGAATGAGGTGAGGCAGGGAAGGAGTGGGTACTTTTAACAAGTTTGTGGTCTCTGCCTGTCTATGTGCTTGGAGAAGGGTGTGTGTAAAAGCCTCTAGAGAACAAGTCATGGCAGATCTCAGGCTCCATCTCTTCCTGTGGATGGAAGGATGAACAGAAAAGCATTAACTATGACCAAGAATCACTCTTTTAGAAATTGTGTCTTGACATTCCTTAATTCATGCACAATTGCAAATTGTAGTTTAGTTAAAAATGAAGTTTTATTCTACTTCTTTTGCAGTGAAGCTAAGAGAATTGAGAGAGTCACACCGCCCAATGTTCACAGTGGCTCCTAGTTCATATTAATTGGTGCAAAGATGTGCCTAGTAAGCCTGCAAATCTTCCTTCCTCAATCTGGTGTCTTACTGATATGGTGTGCCTGTAAGACCCTGAAATCTAAGTTAACATGACCAACAGGTAGGGAAGCTGTGGTAGTTGCTATCCCAGCTTATATGGAATGCCAGATTATGGAAGGCATTTTACTTGAGGTGAGTCAGAAGACTCTGAGAAGATACACTAAACTCATTCTTTACTTATTGTGCTGCCCCATCTTCTTGCAGGCAACATTGTAGTCCATTTCATGTTGCCAGAGACACGTGAAATCTACGAGTTGGAAAAGTTGTGGACACTCCGCTCTAATGATGATCAGTTGGCACAGATGGCTACAGAATCTTTACCTGATGACTTTGTGTTTGGGCTAGATTCTAAACAGCAGTGATTTAACCTCGCATCTAAAGACTGGAAAGAGCTTTGCACATATGATACAGTTAATTACAACGGTCAACTGAGTCACGAAGCCAATTCTTGGAAAGGGAAAAATGAAACTGAGCACATCAAGCTGCCACTACCGAGTGTCAGCATTATGGAGTATCGATAAGTATAGAACTTACCAATGGGAAGTCAGTTGTGGCCCATGGGAAGACAGTGGCTCTTTTTGTTGCAGTAGTGAAGCTCTATCATTATGTGGACAATTGCTGTTTGAAATAATTCCTGTCAAAGCGTGTGTCTTTTTGACAGTAGCTTCTTGTGGCGTTGGTTACTGTGCCACTTATGTTGTTAGCAAGTTGAATAAAGCTGTTTTGAAATGTTTCTTGAATTATTCTCATACCTTTATTTTGGTGTATTTTTTCTAATGTCTGCTGTTACCCCTATAAAATCTAATAAGTTCCAATAATAGAAACTCAATATACTAAAATTTACTTTGAACTAGTATTATCCATATCAAAATCAAAGTTATCTACAAAATGGTTACAGATGTAATAGTCTACTCACAGCTTGGTGCCAAGATGTAGTGAGGGTAGAAGACAGACTGCTACCAGGGCATTAGTGTCACCTAGATTTTCCACAAATTGATTTTGCTTTTTAATTATCTCTAATTTTCCTAAAATAGTTGATAAGAGATTACTTCAAGTAGAAAATCGCACTTAAAGTTTTTTTTTTTAATTGCCTGCTCCTTTTCCCTATTCCAGATATTAAATAGGGTTTCAGCAGAGTTCTTTGCAGAGCCATCAGAAAACGTTTACATTCTTACAAAGCAGCATTTAAATAGACCCTAAAGTTTGAATTACAGGAAACTAAGTGATAAACTATTTTTAGACATTGCCTTGGAGTGAATGTATCAGGGGGTTTATACCAGCATGCAACCACCCAATCACCCCACATAGCACATGCTGTTTTTGCATGGCATACAAAACTAAAAAGCCTGGTTAACAAGTGTGTGGCTATTACTGTCACTGATGTAGTAAGCAGCAGAGAAACCATTGCATTGGGTCACCAGCTGTGTTCACACAATACAATAATTACGAGGATGTAAAGAAAGGTAATATTCTATCCCCTTTGTTATTTAATTTTTACATCAATGCTATGGCGACAAGACTTAAAAAACTAGGCCATCACCTTCCAAACCTGACTGGTAGACCTATTGCATTACCCCTATATCATCTCTACCTCACTCATTAGATTGAGAGCACTAAATTCAGTTGCCTCATACTGCACAGAAAACAATTTAGTTATAAAAATTCAAAAATTATCGTCTTTTCAAAGAGGCCCTTCAGATACAACTACATGTAGTCTTTGCTTAACAAGAGTAATAGAGACCGGGAACTTTGTCACATTTGTAAGGTGTGACATCACATGACCACACTGACTTACGGTGGCAGTTGCAGCAGTTCCAGTTGCGGCTGTTAGGTGAATCCTGTGTGGTCGCAGTGTCCTGTGGTCAAGTGATCGCCATCTGCTACCTCCTGCTGGCTTCCCCATTGACTTTGCTTGTCGGAGGCCAGCAGTGAAGGTTGTGAATGGCGATCATATGACTACAGGATGCTGCAACGTCGTAATAATGAACCAGTTGCTAAGTGCCCAAATCACGATCGTGTGTTCACAAGGGTGCTGTGATGGCTGCAACTATGAGGACCAGTTGTAAGCATCCCTCATTCAGTACAATTGTAACGTTGAATGGTTGCTGAATGAGTGGATGTTAAATGAGGACTACCTGTAAGAATAGTATAAAACAAATTCAGGCCCTCAAATACTTTGGAATTGTTTTCCATGCCACTGGCTTGTGGAGGCCCCAAACTCAATCTCTAAAAGGTCAGAAGTGTAGCTGCCATCCAAAGGCTTTTTTGCATGATAGAAGGTAATTACACACCTGGTGGACTAAAAGTGTTCTGATGCCAAAGTAATAGCACAGCCATCTTATGGCATGGAAGAATTTAGAACCATCTGAAGTTGTTCAATTAAGCTTCTTAAGGAACTTGTTTTTGGTTCCTCATTGTGTCTCTTTGGGCTGAGGCTGGAATGGTTCCAATTAAAACCTGTTCCCAAGTAGCACATTAGTTATTGGCTCAAGCTAATCTTTAACCCAAGGTGTCTGGCTTTGACTCTTCAAGACAAATTCCAGACTTCCTAGAAGAAACTACTTGGTGCCATCCTAAAGTATTGTGGACTTTCTCTAATGTACTGATTCCAATGGGATTTATTCAGGCCAAAGCATCTTTCAGGCGAAGTGCCAGTTATTGTCTTGCAAAGCAATCTCAGCCAGGTGCCACTGTATTATTCCAGTAAACTCAGGAAAAATTATTGCACCATCCATTACCTGTACAATATCACCCCTAAAAACATTAGAAGAGCTTTTACATTTACCTACTATAATGTCCTCCCTTCCACCTTTTTGGAGGGAAGATTCTGTCACATACCTAAAGAACAGCAATTCTGTCCTTGTGGTAAGGAGGAAATTGAAACTTTGGGACGTGTTGTTGTGCTGCCTTTTTATAGAGACCTCTAAGATATGTATGTTTCCCTATTCATAATACAATGCCCAGGCAGGACAGAGGAAGATTACCTTAATCTCCTGCTAGCAGACCAGGAGGCACAGATTTCAGGCAACGTAGCCCAGTTCTAAATCCAAGCTATAATGCAAATGACTCTTCCATTTGAGGTGATATTGAGCCCTAAGTTACCATAACTCGATCTCTCTCATCTTTTCTTTAAAAAAAAATAATTCCAGTTACACCAAAGGTAATCCTCAAGTTGTGACTACAATTGGGACTGGGATTGCCATCACTAAGCAATGAGGTTGGAAAGTGCGACGTTATGCGACCACGTTGTTTAGTGATGGCAGTCCTGGTTGTGGTAACCCAAGATGTGCAGGTCGTTAAGTGGGAAGCGGAGGGAGTCCCAAATAAGGAGCACAGAGGTGCCGCAGTGGGGTAGGGGAGGCCCTAGGAAGCCCAGTGAAGTCAGGAGAGGGGGTGCTCGGCGCAGCACAAGCTCAGAAAGGCGGGGGAATGAGGGTGTGGGGTATATGATTGCAGGGAAGCTGGGATGGGATGGGATGGGATGCATGTGTGAGAGCACAGGAAGGCTGAAGAAAGAGGGCACAGGGTGTGTGCATGTGTGCAATTGCAGGGAGGCTGTGGAAAGGGCATGGGATACGTGTGCGCATGGGATGCATGCATGCGAGCACAGGGAGGACATGGAAAGGGGACAAGGTGCATGTGTGCGATCACAGGGAGGCCAAAGAAGGCACAGGGGTGTGTGTGTGTGTGCAATCGCAGGGAGGCTGAGGAAAGAGGGCACAGGGGGAGGCCAAGGAAAGGGCATGGGGTAGGAAGGTGTAAGAGAATCCATCTGTTATCCTATCAATATTAAATCTTCAAAGAAGTTAGCCCTTTATATGTGAAGGCAGACTGATGCCCAAATTTTACAATATGAATATGAGCCATGGGAGTTCTCCTATGACTATCAGTTTCAATTCTTACTCTTCCTGATGCAGCAAACTTCAGAATCTTGCAGCTGTGTGTCATGCGTACTCAGCATTGTAGTACTAGTACACCTCTTCTCTAGGGATCTTATAAATAAGACTAAATATAAAACATATATTGGAACTACAAGTCAGTTAATTGCCATGTTAATTGTTCTGTTCAGGCAGGGATTTCCATCACAGCTCCCATGCCATCCATATATAAAATAGTACATTTAAAAAATGGACATAAGCTCATAAGATCTCCACATTTTTTAGTTTTTATTTTTTGAAAAGGTTGCTAACCCCTCACTCTTACCAAACAAAACAAACACACATTTGTCTGATAATAGGAGTTAAACTCTTTATTCCATTCAGAGGCATCTGGCAAGTGAAGCTGCATAGGGGGCACATTACAGAGGAAAAATGATAAATATTTTATTGAATACTGAAGTCATTTAAAGAATCACTTCCTAGCTATATGAAATACTCCATATTGTCATGTCTCAATTGAAAGTAAAAGACATGATTTTACCACACTAAAGTCTACAAATTTAAAGAGAAATGACAATATTTATGTCAGATGGTGTAAATGTAGTACTTATTTTGTAAAATAAAGCTGTTAAGGAAAACAATCATATCAATCTTTCCCAATATTAAGAATACTGGACTCAGATTTTAAAAAATCACTACGTCCTTCTCTTACTTCAGTAATTGTAAGTTCATTGTAAGAAAAAAAAATCTCCTAAAGTTTAGGTAAAGTACTGTCCCCCCCCAAAACCCCAAGAAACTTGTTTTTCTTTCCTTCTGCTAAACTACAACATACATTTGTGTTTTTAACCCAATTAGTAAAGAAAAGATGCAGTAAAAAAAAAAAAAAAAAGAACAGATTTTTTTTTCCAAAAAAGTTATCTAATCTGTACAACAACGTTCTTTGGGAAAATGATCTATTCTATGTAGAAATGCCTCTATTTTCTTATCAATCTAAGAGGTAGATCAACAAAATGGTGAAACAAACTTGTTTTTGCTAATTGTGCCCCTCCAAACAGTGCAGCATAGCAGTTCCAATCTTCTCATGCACAGAAACATCACAAACAAAAGGGTCCGAGGTAATAGCATGGCTCGTGCACCCAGGGAGGCATGCACACGCACAGCAGTCTTTATGCACCATGTGTTGCCACATTGTTAAAACTGAGGTAGACTGAAGTTTATGTAGAAACTTGAATGCATATTACCACAATCATGATTCAAATTACATTCTGAAATTAAAGAAAAAATGGTAAATTTCCTGTGATCCCTGCCTTTTAGTACATGTTCTTGTTTCGTGGTTGTTGCAGAATGTGCATAAATGCTGCTGTATCTTGTTTGTAAGCCAAGCTTGAGGTTGTATGAATTCATTTTTATTTAAAAAAACCTTCGAAGTGGCTTAGTGTGGCCCTTAATAGCGGATATGTAAACTTAGCCTTTCATTACCTTTAAATGGGATCATCAAACAATGTTTGATCTTGCCTCCCTCACCCAATACAATGGTAACTGAAAAGAGTATGAAGCAATCTGCTGGAGAGCAGAGAACCCATGCCTCCAAACTGCTCTAACAGATCAAGCATATTACCAAACTGAAGATGAAGCTTGCTCTTTGAAACAGAACGACAACATATAAATGGGCTGCAAATGTTTTAGCATTAGTAGGTAGATAGTGATGGTCAAAGGCACAAAGGGTTCATGCATTCAATCAAGTAATACAAGAAAAAATGTCCAGTCTCTAAAAGACTTCCTAAAATTTACCCACAAGTCCCAGCCTCTTGCCATCACTTCCTTGTTCTGTTCCCAACAAAGTACCATCAATTTTTTTCATCCCATCTTAAAAGAAAAATAATGGCATTGCTGCAATGAGTATGTTGGCATTTGTTTAGGTTATCATTTGAACATTCACTGATTCCCTACCCCCCCACAAACAAATGATTGTGTTGACACCCTCAGATATAATCTGAGGCTATTTTTTTTTCCATCTCACTCCTGTCAGCCAACAGCTAGAAGCCATCTACATTTGTTCCATCTCAATAAATTCTGTAGCACTCCTAGGCTGTTGGCTGATCAAATTTATCATTTTTTAAAAAAATAAAATGCTCAAGAACTATTAGCTTTATAAAGTATACAAAATACAAAAAAAGCAAAAAAAAAAAAGGCAAAAAAGGAATAATTTCTTATTTGAGGTATTAAATGCCTGAGGTAGTTTAGTAAAATGCATATTCATCTTTTCATGCCTGGCCAACACCACTGAAACCTCTCTTAGTTTATACATGGCAGTATTGTGTAAAAATGCACCCAAACGTTAAAAAAAAAAGCCACTTGGTTAACATTGGGAATAACGCTTAACCTCTTTGTCAATGCCCTTGTTCTAAACTCCAGTCCCATCCCCAAATCCCACCCTTCCATTATCTCTGCTTCTTTTACAAGTGGAATAGAAGAGCAATGCCTTTACTTTTTAAACCAGTGAACTCAAAAGAGAAAGCTTCATTAAATCAATGTCTAAAATTGCTGGGGAATAGTAAGAACAATAAAAGAAGACTAGCAAGTTTATGTTAAACTGTGAGAATAGAACAAAAGGAAAGTGAAGGGGTCCTTAGTTTAAAGCTGGGTTTCAAAAGTAAGAGAGCCTAAAGAATACATTCTCAGAGACAGTATGCCAACTGCGGCTGGTCCTCAAACAAACTGACTGGCTTGGTGAAACTTTTGCATATCATTCCAACAGGTGCCCATACCCTGTCCATTACAGTTTAGTCTCTCTTTCTCTTTGGTTTGGCATCTGTCTCTGAAGGGTCTTTTACTAAACCTTTATTTTCTTCTCTGCTGAGGCTGTCCACTTGGTGCTGACTTCTGTTGCTGTTGCTGCTGCTGCCTTCTTACCTGAGCCAGTATTTCCTGAATTTTTCGCTGGGCAAGCTATAAGACAGAGAGAAAATGTCATCAGAGAATTTCATGCCTTTTTCTCTCCTAATCCCCATTCCATTTTTCAAATACATTTGAGACTATGTAACCCTTAACTGCACAACACATAGCACATCTGCTCTCTGCAATGCCTGACCAGGAATGACAATTACTGTTACAATGATTTAATCCACCTTTTTGGACAACTAACAGAAAAATTAGTAAATAAAAAAGAAGCAAACTAAATAAGAAGCTTGTACAAAACCAAATGGTCAAAATGAGCTTATGCTAGCCCAAAGTTTAGAAGTGGGGGGGGGGAAGAAAGATTTTCATAATTTAAAATAACCCAGATAAGTCATTGGCATTTACGCACAGATTACTAGTTAAAAAGAAAAAAAAAGCCTTTTCTCATATGTACTTGGAAAGGAAATACAAAAGTTATTATAACAGATGGGTTCAGTGGGAAAGGCCATGTTCCTTTTGGGGTTACAATTATTAAACAATGAAAAAGTTAAAGAATTCTATTTCAAGCAGAAACATCCACCAACCTGGCATGCGTAGAAATGACCAGTAATTTTCACAACCACCTGATCATTTTCATCTGGTGTCTGGTCACGAGGAACAACAACTTCTGCACTTGTTAAATTCTGAAGCTCATTTACCTGTTTAAAAAAAATAGTAAAATCATTGTATTGGCTTATCAAGTCTTATAGCTGAGACCGACACTATGAGTGACATACGGGTATACTCAGGAGAATAATAAATTTGTTTAAACATGAATTACATTAAAATAGTTAATAAAATTATTCCCAATGTATACAACCTTTCACACTATGTGTTTCATTAGGAATTACTTTTGAGTGGATGATGTCCAGGTGAAGGGGACTATTTTTTAAAGGGTAAAACAAAGTTTAAAAAAATGTGTGCTGGCAGCTGAAGAAAGGTAGGGAAGGAAACCAGATTTGTGGAGAATGACTAGGGATTTATAAAGGTAGATTGATTGGTTTGAGTGGCAGGGGAGAAGGAGAAAGGAAGGATGTACAAGATGTGGAAGGAAAGGGATTTCTGCAACTGCCTTGAGGTTAAGGAAGAATAATTGTAAGCAGGGTGAGTCAGTAGTGGAGGAGTGCAGCAAAGGAGTGTTACGTTCTCCCCTGCCATTATAATTACTATTATTAGGTACAGCTGTTGCTTCACTGAAGAGCTAACAAACAGTTGCTGTTACTGTGCTGCTGAGCAGGATGATGATCCTAGAGCTGTAACTCTCTGGAATTGCCACAATTACCAGCACTTACTCATCTGATGGCTGGTGTGGGTCTTCTGGGCTGTGTGGCCGTGTTCTTGAAGTTTTGTTTCCTAACGTTTCGCCAGCACCTGTGTGAACTTATACACCCAGACTATACAGACTCCCCAAAATCCACAAAGACTCGATCCCACTCAGACCCATCGTAAGCGCCATTGGCTCCCC